CTCAGCTGTTCTCCTAACGATGACACAAAATGCTCAATGTTAACGCAACAGTGCTCATCGTAACGCAGCGCTGTGGCTTAATAGAATCGCCACTGTTAACGCCTGACGTTTCTCCCACAGAATTTAACAGACTGTAAATTCAAATTGAACAGTTCTTGTTTCCCATATTAATCAACAGCCAAGATTTTAACGGATTTTTATATTGCACTTATGCATCTATTTTAATTTTACAATCATTTCAATATAAACAATTTTAGATACACTTGTATTTTGTGCTCATTCTTAGGGTCAAGTTCATTTTCGCCATTTCAATTTRCCTTATTTAAGTATACTAGGAAAAATTTGTTTCCTATTGTAGTAACTAGTGTGATATATATTTAACATTTAAATGGTTTTCATATTATGTACCTACAATAAAACATATTTTGCTCGGCAAGTGTCAGGTGTGAGCTCAAAATATAGAATTGAATAATTCTAAAAGCTTTTCGTTGAACATGCTGTATACTTTTAAATTGAAAGCTGTTTAATGACCAGAGACGACTATTAACATATTTATCTCCTATATATGTATATGTATGTATCTATGTCTGTTGTATAACAAAAACTTAAAAAATCAATCTTAGTTTATATATGAAAGAATCATACAATGACTTTTGTATCGAATTATTTACACGGCCAACGACTGATACGATCTTTAAATTTATATTATATACTTAAGGAAGGGACAAAGAAAACTGCGGGACTTATCAAATTGCCATTTCAAACGGCTAATCTAGAATTGCAAAAATGGCCTCTTATCCGCTATTTAAATCTTTATATCTAATGTGAATTTGATTTGCAGTCGAAATTAGATGTAAAAATAATAGAAACGGAAGCACCGACTACTAAATTAACGTAACCCAGCGGCCAATCATCAGTCTATAGGCTTTTGGTAATGTTGTGGAACAAGCGACGTCCCCACCAAGACTCCAAATCGAATGGCTTGAAATCGTTTAGGGCTGGACTTGGAGGCTCTACCCAAACGGCTGGCGCTGCCGATGCCGACACAGGTGTATTGGCTATAATGCTATCCACTGGACTGGGTGTGGCCAAAGTAGAGGCGCTATTATTATTAGCATCGGCCTTACCATCGAGTTTCACTGTGCTGGAATCATACGG